TAAACAACTGCACCCACTGACATTTGTCAGTGCTTGTTGTACATTTATGGAAGCACAACAGTGGAGGTAGTGGGTGGTGCATCAGCAGTGACAACAGTGACATGAAAGACAAGCCATGTTCTGAATGATCACACACAGCTATCATACCACAAATTGAAGAGTGCCTCAATCAGTGGATTACAGTCAGAGAAAAAACAGCGTAGGGAGCCAAATAACTGCTGTGATGCATTGAAAACTGTGATATTCCAATTGTGCCTACCATAAAGTTTGTGACAAGTAGGTCCCACAGATTCTCACACACATACAGCAAGAATGCCCATATGCATGTTTTTCAGGACCTACTGAAAAAGTACAAGGCTGAAGGTGACTGTTTCCTGGATCACACCATTACCAGTGATGAGATTGGTGACACCATTATGAATTCAATTCAAAACAGCAGTTCATGGTATGATATATGAATTCCTAATTGAAGAATAAGTTGAAGACGCAGACCCCTGTGGGAAGAGAGATATGCAATGTCTTTTGAGATCGGAACAATCCTTTCAGATTTCCTGGAAACGAGACAAATGATGAATCCTGATCGCTACATCACCACAGAGACTAAGCTGAAGGCTTGAACTTCCACAGTAAGGCCAGAGGAGAAGACAGACTTTCTCTTGGAACATGATAGGGCCAAGCCAGTTTGAAGACTGTAAAACTCCACCAATTTGACTGTACTGTCTTCCTATGCCCACTATATAGTCTCCTGACTTCCATCTGGGCCAATGAAGGATGGAGTGCATAGGCAGTATTTTCCCAACAGTTGTGCTATCATAGCAGCTGTGAAAGAGTGGGTCATCACTGCTGGTGCAGATTTCTGCAAGCACAGCACACAGACTCTTTTTCATTGCTGGTCAAAATGCATAGCTAATGGTGATGTCTGTGTTGAAAAAACGTGTTTTGTAGCTGAGAATTTGCTCTGTCAAATAGTGTTGCTGTGTTCTTTGCATCTGTTACAGCTTCCATGGAAACAAATAGAAGACATTTGGAGTAACCTATATACTCCCACATGACCAAGAAAAATGCTAAGTATTAAAATATATTTGCTAAGAATATCTCTTTAAAATAGGATGACAGAGAGGAAAACAAAGATGAAAACTATTTTGTAAATTTATACAAGAAGCGGATGGCAGAACTAGTCTGAAGAGTCCCAGAATATATTTTGTTTACTATTTTATCTTTTTTGGAGTCATCCCAAAATTTAACTATTCTGCTCTAGGCATGTAGCAAGGGAAAACACCAATTTTGCTGATTTCTTTTTCTTGTTATGAACTTGACCAGCCTAATAGGAACTATCACTGTAGCACACCTGTATGGCACTTACAGACTCTTCCTTCAATTCATCTAAAATTTCTGCAACTAGGATCTAGGAAATTTCCACAACCAACTCAACATTCAAGATTCTCACCACATAATGCCAGAGTGGATCACCTAAAGTACTTCATTAATGTCCATAATTTATGTTGACATCACAAAGCTTGCAGAACAGATTTTGTACACAAATTTAAGACGTGAATTTCTCAATTACAAGCGCTTAAGCTAAAAACTACAGCATAAGAGCTGTGGGGAGGAAAAAAAAAAAAAGAAAAAAAAAAGAAGCACCAAAACAAGCCAGCAAGACCATTGAATTTGTACTCTCCAACTAATGGTGAAAATGAAACCTACTCTCCCATACTGACAGGATCAAAGCAGCAACTTAATTTTTTGTTTCCTATTCCAGTTGTCTTATGCAAAGTAATTAAAAATACATACGCATATTTTCATCTGCAGCAAGCATAATTCAACATCGCATTAGTACTTGAGCACGTAGTAGTACAAACACATTTGCAATCTCATAATCACAGCTTATTTCTTTGTGGCTTTAATCTTTGGTGTCAGATGCTACTTTATCCCCGTACTGGTACACAGATCTTTCAAAATGTCTAAAATAAGGAGCTTATCCTGAAGAAGAAGTCCTAAAATTGCTTCAGTTACAATTTCCACAGTTTTTAAACATGACATGAGCATCATGTTATTTTTTTAAAGCTGAATTTCTAGCTACTGACTTGTTTTACCTTCTCCTGTGAGTTAAACATATTAAAGTTACATCAAGCTATATTTTTTTCAAGAGTAAAAATGCAGTTAAGCATTTCAGAAGCATGCCCAGTGAAATAGAATTGCATTTTGTTTTGCCTCACTCTGAGTTACTGAATAAAACTAAGCATTAAAAACACTTCCTTCTTGGTATTCTCAGATGGTTTCAACCAAAACATTAAATTCTCTTTAAGTAATGTGAAAATATAACACAAGAATTCTAACTTTGTAATTTTACATTCACTTAATGAATGACCTCCATTTCCTATGGGGAAAGCATTTTCTTCTGCTACTACTGACAGCTCATAGAAGATATACATAGATCGGAAAAAGTACAGAGTCACATTTCTTTTCTCAGAAGATACAAGCTGCCCAGTTAACTATGCCCCCTATGTATTTATATTTCGTTTCACTGCACTGTGCTGGGGATTTTGTTTTGTTCAGATAAAATACCTGACTCCAGTTCTGAATCCACAGGGACTTGATAGATCTTCAAGACAGTTTCAGAGAAAAGTATGAAGATCAAAAAAAGGGAGGGGATGAGAGGGGAGGGACAGCTGGAAGGCACAAGATTTTATATAAAGATATTACACAATTTGATGTACATACAATGGCATACTTCTTAATAAGTTCCTAGAGTACTCAAAAGAAATTCTATACATACAAGTGAGTAAGCATCTGACAGAGCCAGACCTGCAGAATTTGGCCAAAAGACCTTCACAGAAGCACTCTTACATCTTTTTTCACATCATTCAATTTGGATAGCTTATTTCCACAAATCTTCTGCAAAGTAAAGTTAACTCTTTTGACAGTTAACTCTTGTTTATAGAAATTAAGTATCATGTTTATTGTTTTCCCTGCAGCTAGATTCCCTTCATAGGCTTCACATCCGGGAGCAGGTGGAAACTTCTTCAGGGTAAAATATAATCCTAAAGCTTTTTCTCTCTCTCTTCTAAGCTCCCCTCTCTGAAAGTCAAGTAACAAGCAGAAACACCAGGCTAGGACCTTCTAACTGGAAAACTGTCAGGATCTGCACCACTATCAGTGAAATTAATTTTTTAGAATACTTTTAAAAGTAATCTTTAAAATTCTTTATTTTGCTGTTGCATTGGGTACAAGAAGAGTATTTTCATTTTGCACCCTATTTTAAGTTCAAAAAGATGGTTCTCTAGCCCAGACCTTTGGTTTGTGAGGATCAGCAAAAGTCACAAGTTTTCTCCCTAAACCTTTAAAACAGAACACAGACACAGAAAGTAAAATCTCACTGGACTCTGCAAATAAACAAACATGAGAGTCCAATCCCACAAAAGCCTAATCCACCAGTAAGATCTTTGTACAATCACAGCTAATTTACACTTATTGAAATACATAACCAGAAGGCCACTTGTAGTAGCTTCTATCTGCAGCATTCTGAAACCTTCAGCATGCACAAAATCTTTAGAATGTTAAAAGAACTCTATTACAGATCATAAAAGATCTTATGAATGAGGCACAGAACTTACTTCTACCCTTCCAATACAGAAGTTCAAAGTATTCCAGCACTATGCATTTATATCCCCATTTAACTCATACTTGTCTCAAGCCATCTGACATACACTAACTCACAAAACACAGCACAAATGTCTAGTGATGCGGACCTCATGGGTATACACACACGGTATCACAACAGAAATGGAACTCTGTTTCTGAAATCACCTAAAAACTGATGGGTAATTCCTAGAAAAAGAAAGGGAAAGATATCAAAGGGCACATAGAAGTAAAAACTGTTATCTGAAAGAATTCACATATGTAACTGGCCTTAAGGTAAATCTAAAATACATTTACGCTCCCCAGGTGCTTGTTGCACCTTTCAAGAAGCACAAGTCTGTAGCAATATCTTTAACATTCTGATTCATAACTCAAACAAACCACAGTGAATTTTAAATTGATTTAAATTCTTGTTTTCTTCTTAAAATATTAAAATTTTAATTTGACTGAAATTAATATATTAAGACATCTGAACTTACAGCCCAGCCAAAATACCCCTCAGTCATCAGTTTTCCAATAATGTAAGGTGCATGGTACTCCACAGTAAACACTATTTCACTGATCACCTCAGCTGTGCATAAATTTGAACTATGTCTCCACTGGGTGACTGCCAGCATTCTTCATTGTCTCTGTTTGTGGTTCCAATGAAATGTCACCTTCATCCATCTTAGCCTACACTTGAAGAATGCTAGCATTCCCCCATAGTGCTTTTAGAGATACCTGTAGATGTTTTAAATGTGTAATTACTGACAGTTGATCCTTGTGTATTCTCATTAAGAAATGTAATCTGCCCTTCGCTTCCTAAATAATGGTATTCACTTCTTGTCTTGAGCATTACACAAGGGAGATTACACCACCTTTCTTTCTTTCATTTTTAAGTTATTCTGAATAAATCTTAGCTACAATCAGGTCTGAATTGTGAGGCCTGCCAGCCTTAGTATTACTCCTTTAAAACATGTTCCAGTTTGACTACGGACTTTAACAAAGATACATTGTATTTCCTATACTGGAGATGCCCTAAGGGAAACTGCGCCCGGCCAGAGGCAGCCGGCGGGGCAGGGCAGGGCAGGGCAGGGCAGGGCAGGGCAGGGCAGGGCAGCCGTGCTGTGCCAGGCCCGGCCTCTCGGGTGCGAGCCCAGCCGCATCACGCCGCCGAGGAGCGGGCATCGTTCCGCTGGAAGAACCAAGCTCAGGAGATGACCTCTCTTCAGCGAGGCTAAGCCGAGGTGGCAAGACGATGAGAGGGGCAGCGCCTCACCCCTTCACGTGTGAAATGAACAAACGAGGAGAAGCGGAAAGAAAAATAAGAAGGGAAAAACACCCGAGGCAGCAGAGGAGCCCAGAAGCGAGGACTGTCTCACCTTGGTGAGCTGGGCGATCTTCTTGCTCATTTTGAAGTGCAGGTCCGGGCTGTGCTCGGCTCCTAGTCCCGGCGGGGCAGAGCCGGAGCCGAATTTCCCCGCTCCGGGCGCGGATCCGCCGCCGTAGCCGTGCTGCTGCTGCCAGCTCATCCCCGGGGTCGCCATCTTCACCACCGGCCCCCGCAACCGCTCGGCATCCGCCGGCGCCGCTGGGAAGCCGCGCCGAGGCCGCCAACCGCCGTCCGAGAGCTCCCCGGCCGCTGTCCGCAGCCTCCGCGCGCGGCCCCTCAGCGGGCGGGGGGCTGTGGCATCGACCCCGCGGGGGGCCGCTGCGCGAAGCGGCACCGGCCTCTCTCCAGCGGCTCCTCCGTCCCTCCCACCCGGCACCAGGCGGGGAGGCCGGCCAGCCCCGGGGCAGCCCGCCCGGCCGGGGGATGAGCGAGGGGGCCGCCGGCCGTTCCCGAGCTGTCGCCGCCGCGCTGTTTACGCCGCGCAGGTCGCGTCACTCGGCAGCCCCGCCCGCTGCGTGCCCGCCTCGGAGCCGCCGGCGCCGCGCGCGCCTCCCAGCGAACAGGGCGTCCGCCCCCCGTCTGTGCCCGTCGCTCTGCTGCTGCCCGCGGCAGTCGGCCGTTGGGCGATGCTCCGCTTTCAGGCTCTGCTGCAAAGGGGATCTGTCGGGCGTAGAAGGCGTGTACGGGTCTAGGTATATATACCCCGTCGTGGCAGGTCTCGGGGTGCCAGAAGCTTCTCACTGCCTGAAAACTCACTGGGGGGTCATATGGGGCTTAGGACAGAGCTCATCCGTACTGGGACGGCTCCTGGCTCTCTTACGGTGCCCCCTGGATATGCGTGAGGGAAGAAGTGCCATTTTCTCACAGCAGAGCAATAGAACTGTTTGAGTTGGAAGGGGCCTTTAAAGTCCATCTAGCCCATCCCTCCTGCAACGAACACCTAAAGCTAGATCAGATTGCTTAGAACCCCGTCCAGCCTGACCTTGAGTATCAGCCTCCAGTAGTTGTAGTAGTTGGTTGGAAGGAGTAACATCTTAAAATTGAAACGAGTTGAGTAGGTACAATGGCTGCACAATTACTTCAGGCACCCACAGATGGTGGAGTAACCCAGCTTGAGAGGGGAAGGCAGGCACAGGAGTTGGTCGGCCACATTTCCTACAGACACAGCCTCTGTAAACTGCAGATACAGACCACTGAGTTGATGGGATGAGTGCAGAACAAACATCCCTGCCAGGAGAAATTCACAGCCAATTTTAGTGTAAGTTTTCATGCGGAGATGACTGCTCTCTTCTTCCATTTCCAACCTCAGGAGAACAGCCACCGTGTTTAACAATTTAATGTCTCTTTGCTAGGCTCTGGCCTTAGGAGAACATAAATACATTAATGTGGTTGGACATGTTGGATTTCTAGATTAGCAGCCTCTGCACTGATCTTTTAAAAGTCCTTGATATTCTCTATACTTTTTCTCTTTTTTTTCATTTTTTTCTTTTTCTCCTTTTTTTTTTTTTTTTTTTTTTTTCTTTTTATTCTTTTCCCCTCCCCTTTCCCCTGCTCTAAAAATCTCCTATTTGCATGGATTCTTTGTAGGCATACAAATATCAACTGGTAAATGACTAAATCTCCTACTCAACATGGATGCAGGGAAAAAGTATTACCTACAATGTGAAAATGACAGAAACCAGTGGAAAATGAGGCGAGGTTGAATGGGGGCCCTGGGCACTCTAATCTTGTGCCTGATATAGTGAGTGGTAACCCTGTGCGCGGCAGAGGGGTTGAAACTGGATGGTCTATGAGATCCCTTCCAAAACAAGTGATTATATCATTCTGTGATTCTATGGGTAGTGAGGAATATGAGGAAGTCCAGATTACAAAACAGTGTGTCTCAGTCATAGAGGTTCATACTTATGTAGTATGATAAATAACCAATTCAATGTGAATGGGCAGCGCAAGACAGGCTGTGATGCAAATGAGATTCTCTGATGCACAGATGGGGCACTAAAAAGAATGTACAAGTAGGTTTTTCTACTTTTGCATACAGGATATTTGTGAGAGTGCAACTGAAATACTTGCGTTGAGGTCCAGTGTCTGCAATTTCCACATGCCAACACGCTGGAAAAAAATTCAGAAAAAGGGCCAGGAAAAGTACAAAATTTGGGAAAGGATTCGTATATTGGAGGACTTAGTAAACCCAACTGTTTTAAGGAGTCTCAAAAGTGATTTAATCTCATTCTCCAGGTAGCTGCACTGTGTTGAGCCCCAAATTTGCATTGTTCAGAAAATTCTGACACTGATTTATTTTTTTATTTTTTTCATTCTGAGGTGGCCCATTCTGGCAAAGAGAACAAAGGACAGATGGTGCTTATCCAGGCAATGATTCATACAGATGAAATATAAGAGGTAGAAAGAGTATTAGGAGCATCTGTATCAAATATGTGTCCATAGATGACATCTATGAATAGCACAGACTGTTAATTCAGTTTTGTCAAATTAAAAAATAATTCAGTGACTAAGAATGATTTTCCATATGTAGGAAGGTCAAATTACTAATTAAAGCAGCAGACTGATTCCAAAGACTTGGTTTTGGTTAATGGTTTTGTCTGGCTGAATGTGTGACCTTAAGCAAGCTTCTTTAACTCCTGTGCAAAAGAGTACTTTGCTGTACCTAATAATGACTCTGCTATTAAGGAATGTCCAGTTAAAATTACTGCTGCCCTTAGAAATCTCAAAAGTTACAGGAATTATTAGCATTTTCATTTTATATGCACATTTTAAATTATTATTTTTCAAGTAATGTGGTGTTTTGAATTTATCACAATTTCTTCTGAGACAATGAGCTTTACTGTTTTACTTTTCATTTTCTCCTGAGAAATGTACACATTTGCTGTGATTCATATTGGCCCCAAATTATTGTTTTGAAGCATTTTCAAGTGTCTTTCAAGTATTGTTTTGAACCAGTAAAGTATGTTTATTTTTGTCTGTCTTGTGTATTGGGTTGCCAAATATTACATTTTGTCTAGGTGCTCTTAAATTCAGGACGCGATTAAATATAGTATGCCTTTTTTTTTCTTGTCTTCTAGTAGCAGTTTTTGTATTTAAAATGTTTGCAAGCATTACTTTCCACCTTTTATGCCCTTAGTGCTCAGATGCCGACTGCTCAACCTCATTTCCAGTAATTAATTTCCACTTGTAGCATACAACCTGTTTTCTTCATGGTTACTGTTGACAAGAGCAACAGCAAAATAGCAGGGACCTTAGTGCTTTTTTCCCTTGGTGAGATTTCATGTCTGTCAATGTATTAAGGTATGCAGAGATCTCACAGGGTTTGGGCTGAAACCATCCAGAGACAAATGAGGAGACAGTGCTTTGTGTCTGCTGATGGGTACGGAAAAAGACTGAATGAAGCTGGGCTTTCTTGATGTGTATTGCTGCCATAAGAGCTGTAAAGTGAAAACTTTAGCATCTCTTGTCACTCTCTTATGTGAGTGACAGACAGTTTATTTCTATCCATTTTCTCTAAAAGTGTAGGCTCGGTGTAGGAGTGGTCTTGGTGTATATATACATATACGGAAGATTTTTAAGAATCAAAAATACTGTTAGTAAAATTATGCTTTTAAGATTACACTTTTATATATCTGTCATGTATATATATATACATATATGGAAGCATACATGGAAAACTTACCATGACTTTGTAGTTTTGCTTCTTCTGTTGTAAAAATCAACAACTCTGCCTATATGAAAATCTACCTCTACTTTTTTTGTATTTTCCTGCATAACTATTTGTCTCCATCTTTATGTTTGGTACTCATATGTTTCAGTATGTGTGTCTCTTTTCTAAAATAATGAAATATTTACCATATTACCAGAGCTTGAAGTCTAGGAAAGAATTTCATTTAAATTTTAAGTGCTTACGTTAATGTGCATTACAATTTCCATGTGTACAAAATGCTTTGTTTATCTCATCACAGCTTTGACTAAGACAAATGTGTGCAATCACTGTATGCCTAAGTTTCAAGCCAAAGGCACAAAACCCCCTCTCTCCTTTATAAAGTGTTACAAAGACTAAGCTGGCTTTGTAATAATGTCTTTTGACAACTCCAGAGATGTCAGAGCAGCTTTTACAGAAAGGACAATTAATAAGAAATTTGACCTAGCAGTATTTGCAAGTTTATTCTGTTTAATTTGTAAACTTCCATCAATAACTCTAAACAGTGAGTTTTCAATTATTTTGCAAGTATGTATGAGTATAAATGCTTTTTATCACAATTCTCATTTTCATTTAGTGGTTGAATTATTCAAGTATTTAATAACTAAACACTTAAAACATGGAGACTCTTTTAAAAACAAAACAGACATTTGTTTCTTACTGAATGTTAAACCATGCATTTGTTGTAGACACAATATGAGTATATATGTTTATTTATTTTCATTAAATAACAATTCACCATTAAAAAATAACATGAAATCTTAGCTGATATTTCTACTTTTCTAGTTCAAATAAACCGACTAAATCCACAATGTCCTACTTTATGACAAAAACCTCATTGCCAAGGTTGAAGTTAATCTATTATGCTGAGTTATCTGTGTGAGAAATCATATAAAGCAATGTTTTAAAAGTCTGAAAGTAACAAGGGACTCTTCTTTTAGTTGCATTAAATTGTATAAAGAGGGGTGAATTTACTTTTTGATTTTCAAAGGTCAATTAATAGCCCAAGTTATTTTCTATGTTTGTAAACATACTAATGAATAATATTTCAAATAAGCAAATAAACAATGGGCACAAACTGCAATACAGGAAGTTCCATATGAACATGAGGAAAAAATTCTTTACTTTGAAGGTCACAGAGGACTGGAACAGGCAGCCCAGAGAGGCTGTCCTGTCACTGGGCACCACTGAAAACAGCCTGGCCCCATCCTCTTGACACCTTGCCCCTTAGGTATTTATAAGAATTGATGAGATCTCCTTTCAGTCTTCTTTTTCAGGCTGGAAACAACCCATGCCTCTCAGCCTTTTTTCATAAGATAGATGCTCCATGCCCCGATATAATATAGGATATAAAAGTCTTTATAGTCTTTCACATGAACTGCAAAGATTTAAAATTTTAGCTATCCCTTCAAATTTCTTTTTAATAGCTTTTGTCATTTTATGTTGTT